TCATCTGATATTTTGTTATATTTATAAATTTCTACATCTTATGCTTATGTGAATTTACTAACAATGCATTTTGTATACTTGGATACTGTATACACCAAAAAACTGTACTGAATTTTTTTATATTAAATGTTATAGGAAATAATTTTGCTATTACGTTATTTAAGTTTAAATATATCATTTCATTGAGCGTGTACTCAGTGAAATTTGCATCACACATGACTTCATTTCTGCCTGCCCCCAACTAACAAAAGTATGCAGTGTAGCGTATGCAATCCTACTAAGCAATGGGTAACAATTGGCCGCAGCTGTGAAGATTCATCCCACTCCATCACAGAGATAAATGAAAGAAAGCTCCTTTTTATTTTCTCTTTAAACAGTCACATTTGAATCGTTCAAACGAAAACGCAAAGGAATTTAAATCTAGAAGTGTTCATAAAAAGATTTTTCATGTTACTTAAATGTTCTTGAAATTGCATGCTTGAAATATGTTTTAGGGAAATTGAATTTTATTGTAATTTCAGCTCTAGCAGAACTAAGAATAAATTGTTATATTGAAATTTCACGTTACCTCAAACCATGATTATTATGTTTCAAATGCGTGGACGGCAAGATAGTTTTCGTAACAAACTAAATTAAGCTACTCTCACGAACAAAAAGTGTTATATTTTTTATTCTTTTTAAAACAAAGTTTGTTTGTTTAAAAAACTTTGTTTGTCTTTTGGGATAATTAAAGAAAAAAATTTATTGCCTTAGCAATTTATTGTAATATAAGGTGATTTAAATATTCTCAAAATTTCTACAAATTTTCGTTTATAATTTTATATCTCACCGCTTAAATGAGTAAACATTTTACCACAAGAATAAAAAATATTGGTCCAAAATACGCCTGTGGAATATAAATAGCATATTAACAACAAATCTATTTTAAGATTTTATTAAAAATATATGAAAATCAATTGTTTACTTCCTTTTAATTGGCTATTTTTTTTCTTAGTATAACTCAAATAATATTGCAGATTAAATGAAGTATGTGAATGTAAAGAATGAGCTCAATCATAATTTTTAACAATATACATTGTCTTGCACCAATGAAGTTTGATTAAGGAAAACGTTTGTCTTAAATAAATTTGAATCAAAATAATGTTTGCAATGTAGAGTACCACACGAAAGGATAGTCATAACACCTCGCTATCTCGGATGCAAACAGCAGACTTCAAACTCGCGCGATTACTCCGCCGACATATTTCAAGCAGAGGTACATTTTCATTGTTACCATCCGTTACATTTAAATGAAAGTCTTATTTTTAAATTCTTTTATATCATGACAGTTAACAAATAATTTTTTACATGTTCGTATAGTTTCTAAAAGATTTATAATAGAAATAACTTCAATGATGTTTGCACAGCAAAATAATTTATATACAACTTTTTTATAGTACTAAAATTCGACAAACTGAAGCACCACTGTCTAATGATTCATAGTTTTCCCACAATTACATAAAGTAATAAATATGCAAATTCTTTGAAATTCGTATTTAAATGGAACTAGTTTCTTATTTAACAACCCAGACGGGTGCATTAAAACATTACGAATCGAAAACTTGGTCTAACTTTAGTTCAGACGAAAATTATAATCGTTATTTATATACCAGAAATTCTTAATATTATCATTTCTATTTCCAGAGGCATATAGATAACATTTGATAAGCAGTATGCTAAACATAAAATGTAACTAAATTGCCTATCAGATAATGCAAACATTTATACTTTATTTGAATAACAATTGTATTCATTTTGTACTGTTAAACTGAATTAGGTTTTCAATTTACCTTGCGGCATGCTTTATGATATTTCAATTATGTAAAATATTTATCAGGTTATGTACCTATTAAATATTTTGAAGTGTCACATATTAATCAAAAAGGTTTTTCACTTGTTTAATTGAAGTAAATTACTCTCAAATAAACTGGTTTCAATCAATCCGTTGTATGCTAAAAAATCCATAGTCAATAAAATAAATCAGATCACCGAAAAGTGACCGGCCTCAGTGATATGAGTATTGATAATGGTTGCACGACAGATATAAAAAACGAGATAAGTCTTCGAGGTGTACAAAAATTCGTATTTAAAGTCTATCTTTTAATTTCATATCGAAATATGAATTGTGTGACCGACATACATACATATATACAAGATTATCTAAAAATGCGCTAAAAAATTATTGTAAATATTAATTTGATTTTGGCAGAAATTACAATATACTCGAGCAAAATTCATTATTGAACTCTTATCCCAGGGAAAAATTTGTTTCTAACGATTAGTATAGTAAATATTTTTTCTTAACTAATTCTTTCCAGCACTATGGTTTCTGTGTGAAGATTCACAGCAATTGGACGCAGACGAGTTCTGTTCAATCAATTAATTAGTGAATACATCGATATATCGCAAGTTTTAATAGTACAAAAACACAAATTAAATTAAAAGTGCCACTGATTGCAAGGGACAACTTTTTATTATTATTTTACAATTACCAAGGCTACTCGTATATTTACAAATAATAAAAATAACCACACTTATTTAAATGATTTATAATTTCACTTTTATAGAATTCAAGAATATTTTCTGGCTTCCAATGATTAAATAGACAAATGCTTGGTATCCTTGAAAAAATATTACTATAGCTTGACTATCATAAAATTAAAATATAGATCACTAAAAAGATATACGCTATCAATTATTTTCTAAATAATTACAAACTTTATTCCTCAATTTGTCACGCACAACTTACAAGCAATAAATTGTTTGTTTCATTTTGATACAAAATAAATTGAATGTAGTGTTCTGTATTTTCCTATGAATACATAACTCACTTTTGTGATTCATTTCACTCGGTACGTGAAAATTGTATACCGAATAGGTTTTTATATAAAGGAGCATAGACTCGTTATGTTGAATTTTTATTTTATTTCAATAATTTTATGACCGATATTAAAACAAACGTCTTTCATAATAAATATTGTACGTAAAATAGTATTTTTTTTATTTTATAATATTGTACAAAGTAAATCACATAATTCGGAGTTATTAATGTATCACATTGATGTAATGTTCAAATGGTTTTACTGAGCAGATTAATACTGTTTACTAACTGTAATGTTTTTTTATACTATGTCTTCAATAACAATGGAATTGTGAAATATTTCAACAATATCAACGTTTTATAATGACTGAGTGGTGTAAGTATGAGCGAATGAAATGTTATCAACGAATTAAAATAAATTTTCAAAAGCGTAATTCTGCATGGACAAAGGCAACATGAAACAGGAACGAAATTAGTGGGGATAAACTTCAATTATCGTCCCCCGCTTTGGTTTAAAAGATTCGGAATCGGGCCACTGCATGAGACTATGATTAAAATATTTGTTAAACAATTAAACAAACATTTACATATTTGTTAAGCAATTAAACAAACATTTTACACAAGATACTGATTTTTACACAACAATTGTCTTTTGGCTAATACGATACATAAATCCTGTTCTGTTTTTCTGAATATTGTGCTGTTTAGCATCAATCATTAATAATAATTACTATCACAATACTTATATTGTTGTTTTCATTAAGCTTTAATACTGAACTTACATTAGCGATGTGTTATAGAGTTTCCTATAACGGTTCGCCGCTCACTATTCAAATCAAATCGCGACTTCGTAAGAATGTTATTCGTTGCTTTATATAACTTTTTCATCATTATTGCAATATATATTTCCTATACTATGAATGAATGGCTTTATTTTGGTTTCGGGAGAATTTTTTTTTTCTTTTCTCGAATTCGATAATTTGTTGTAAAATTTCATAGTATATTTTTTAAGCAATTGAAACTATTTAATCCAATATTATTTAATTATATCGCTCCATAGCAGTTATGTTATAAGATCTTATTCATATAATAGAAATTCTGTCCTATCCTCCACACCTATTAAAATACTTTTTTTCTTATACTTTGTATTGTTCTCAATTTAAATTGTAATCGGTTAAAAGTATGAGAAAAAAAATTGTTAGACTGCTAAATCATGCAAAATGCATTATGAGATGTTTTGTTACACCTGTTTTATTGTATATTCATATTATAATATTTTTAAATGACAATTTTTTTTAGAAAAAAAGGTTATGTTTTATAATGTCATAGTATATATTATCAATGCTTGACAAAGATTGTCTTTAAACAATGGAATCAGACGGTCTCTAAAATTATAATATTCACATTGAGTCGAGCGTGAAGTATCTTTAGATTTGTTCTGGTGGCCTGTGTCAGATTTAAATTCAAGATTTTATCATTAAAATAAAACAAGTTCGAAGAAAAAATGATGATATAAATTATGACCAGTTCTGGATTCAGCCCCAAAACAAAAAAAAATGTATTTAAAGTTAGGTTTAAAACCCGTTTAAATAAAAAAAAATTACGTAACTTCTTAGAAAATAAAGGCTATTAAGGAAGTACGATGCAACAAGAAGCGTTATTTTTAAAAGAAAAACGGTTTAAAGAAGCATTTTTAGCTTCATTATTTTTTTATTTCGTTAAGACATCCACAAAATTAAATATTGCAAAGTCATGTCATGATACGATAAAGATAAGTCTATTTTTTCTTCCAATTTATAAACATAACAAAGTTCATAATTTTCATAACAATTGCTTCCAAATTTAACGCAATAAATAGTTATATTAATTTTTAAATTACTTGAATACATTCCAAACGAAAAGACGTCAATGCTTCATCATTCATGCAAACGTATACCTAACGCGTCCCCACTTACAAAAAAACTCGCTCCGAATACGAATACGATGATTTCGAAACGAAACTTTTAATAACAGTTCCAGTTTGTTGATACGACACTACAACAGAAACGATACGTGTTGACCTTTAACGCCGTACTTGATAACATAACATCAGCCGACAGTCAGTCTATCGGTATAACTAGCTGAATAAGGACGTGTTAAAATGTCAGAACAAGAAGCAACTAGTAGTTTATGGGACGAATTTACTAGTCCTGTTAATTTAATATTAGTGTTTTTTATTTTATACCTATTGTACAAAATTGTAAAATCTCATTTCGAAACTATTGAACCGGCTGCGCCTGCGCCGCCGCCAATGCCAAAACTTCAGAAGGACATGACAGTGGCTGAATTAAGGAAATATGATGGCAGTGATCCGGAAGGAAGAGTCTTGATTGCCGTTAATAATATTATTTTTGATGTGACTAGAGGAAAAAGATTTTATGGGCCAGGTAAGAAAATGTTCATTTACCAATAAATACATTCTGTAATTTCTAGAAACAAAAGTTTTAGGTACATATGTTATATTCATGTAATATTTAAAGTAGCATACTATATTATTCATACATACAAACATAAAAAACTGTACGAGGGATATTATTCTTTGGCTGAATTAATTACAATAATAACTATAAACATTTATTCCCAGTTTTTACAACAATTGAATTATAAAGCGATGCAAACAACTAGGCGGCAATTAATATGTATTTTTAAAAAAATATGCATAGATGTGTTGTTTCAATTTTATTTTATGTTTTTTTGTACCCACATTTACATGATAAACAAATACCTAAACCAAACTATTTTAAAACGTGATAAGTTAAATTGTTTTTAAGACATTGTTTTTATTAAATGAAGATAAGGTTTCAATTGTTTCCTATATAAATATAATTTTATATTTAAATATATTTTTTTATTTAATATAACTGAATACAAAGGTTAATAAATTTGCAACTAATTTAGATTTAACTCAAATGAATTGGTCAACTTTGTGGCTATTTAACATACAAATTATGAAATTATCTGTTTTACACAGACAAAGTAACTAATATAGGTCTTAAAATTTTATATTAAAGTACAATCGTGATTGTGAGCATAGCTATCAATATAATTCGTATCTATTTAAGTGGTACAAGTGTTTGGGTTGGAGAATGAGGATGTTATTGTACGTCAACAGCAAACGTTGCTCTTGTCTGTATATTTGTTTGTAAGTATATGTCTGCCACTGAGTGACATGAAGAACACAAAACACAAGGAGAATTTGATTAAATTTTAAAAATATTTAGATTCGATAACGAGATGGAATCTTTACGTAGTAAAATTGAGTTTGAACAATCACTTTTTTCTTAATCTTAAATGTGTTTGTTGCTCATTGAAGTTTTTTATGTACTCTAAAGACATTGCATTACATCTAACACACATCTTTTGTACCAGAAATCAATAGTATAATCTCGGATAATAAGTTAATGGTTATTTGAATGACTGTTTAAATTATATAAAAATGACCATTTATATACTCCACACGCTGATGAAAAAAACAGGAGTACATTTAATAAAATAATTCTTGTATAACTTGATTTAACGACTTAGATTACATTTTATGTTCATACGATACGCACACCTTTGTTTGCGTGACTGATAACTATTTGTCCTTAACTCTGCACACTCTACGACACTTTTAAACTTTATATTCTGGCTAATGGTAACTTACACTAATGATCCTTATTAGTAAAAGCATATTTAATGTTCAATTATACAAAATACTTTTCAAACAAAACGTTATTAGTTCTTCTATCTACTTAATACACAGATTTATATCTTGTTTTGTATTTAATTTTGATCACTTTTTATGACAATCTTTATAGTAATTTAACTTGCTTTACAGTAATTAGCATCGACTAATATTATTCCTTGTTTTATCTTATCGCTATTGTCGAGTTTTAATTTATTTTGATGTACTAATGTTTTATAGTGGTATCAAAGAAGTAATAAGTAATACCATTTCTTTTAATTAAATTTCTTTACAAAGTTAATAATGCAAAAAACACTAAGCTGATCATGATAATGATTGATAAGAAGATTATCACAAATGTTTGATGGTGCAGGTGTAAATTAATAACTGGTATTATGGACCTTGAATGGTCTACACACATATTTTTTTATACATGTATTATATTATATAAGCCATATTTATTAATCTTTTAAATGTCAACATAATAAACAAGTGCCGTTAGATTGAGATTATACCTATCTATTTAAAATTTTCTGTGGTGGTAAGAAGAAAATAATTGAAATTCCTAAAGTATGAACATATTTTAAAAGTATTTCTTAATAGAATAATAATGATCGTTGGAATACTATAATTAATTCTTTATACAATCCAGTTTGTTTTTAAAGTATAAAAAAGATATACAAAAATATTCCCAAAATCAACAAAATTGTAATGATAGCAATACTTAAAACTGAATGTTTAAGCGGGATGTGTCAAAACCTTATTCAATAATTTCCTAAATATCAATGATTTTTTTAGACTTTATACAATTCTAGAAACGTAAATGTTTTTTGTTTCAATTCATTGTTTAACTTCCGGTAATTATAATCCTGAATGAATTATTTGTCGCATTCATTTTAAACAAACTTTAATGTTTTGTTTGAAGTCGTATATACTTTTAGTATAAACTTCGAATATATAAAAAAAACTTTATTTGATTAAAAAAACACATTTGCATTTGTTTATGTGTCAATGTTTGTATAAAATTCATGCACTAAAATATTTTCGAAGAGAATTTTATTCAAAATTGTCTATGTACTTGTTATTGAAAATGGCTAATGACTCCTGGTAGTCCTCAAATATTTTTTCATAATTATAAATTTTGTAATTTGAAGAAACAAAACATGAAGAAATATATACTGTCACTAAAATAAAGACAGATTTCTGTCCGTATTTTATAAACATACAATTACATTGACTGCCATAAATTGAAATCACCTTGGAACTCGTTTTCTTACGCAATTGAACTTAGCCTTGAGTCTTGCCTCAGTTAATTATATTTTTATTAATAAAATTTATGTTTTAACTTGGTTATATTATTTCGATGTAGATTTTACTTTAAAGAAAAAAAATGTTGGATCAATATAAATTTTATACAATTATTTTAACATTTTTAAAATTATGACTATAATTCTACAGAGTACAACTATTCGTTTTTGTTTATTGTTATATTAATATAAATACAAGTGTGTAAATAGCCTAACATAACTTAATTCTCCATCGAGTCAAACCACAATTGAGCTGACCTAATCGTGATTTCGAATTCATTATACAGTTGTGGTTACCAATAGCATACATGCTTATTAGACAAGTTACAAGCGAAGGCCGGACACAAACTATTATTTGAAGACGAAATAATTTAATACATCATTTAAAAGTCGTTAACAAAATTTGACTACAATAGTGTTAATGCGTTTTTACCAATTAAGGAGATAAACAATGATGTTATCGTTTTAAGAAACAAAACAATAAGTCTTACATTGTATTCAAAAATATGACAGGGTTTTAAATTATCATTTCAGGTGGTCCATACGCTGCTTTCGCTGGTAGAGATGCGACGAGAGGTTTAGCAACCCAACAGGTAGCTGGATCAGAGGTTGAATACGATGACGTCAGCGACCTCAGTCCTGACGAGCTTGCAGCAGCTAAAGAGTGGGAGGAACAGTTCAAAGGTACAACATATTTCTAAACTAGCTGCGCCCCGCGGTCTTATTTCCGGGATGTAAAGTAGCCTATATGTTATTCCTGGACGTCAGCTTCCTGTATACAAAATTTTATCAAAATCTGTTCAGCCGTTTGAGCGTAAAGAAGTAACAAACATACACACATACTCACAAACTTTCGCAACTATAATATTAGTAGGATAGACTGTTTGCGTAATGTGAAAAAATATTCACAAAATTAAACTGATTATTTCATTGCAATTGAACAGAATAAAACTTTAATACAAAATGAATGAATTTATAACTCAAGATACATAATAAGTAGTTTAGGTCACGGTCAAACAGTTTTAAATATTTAAAATAGCAGTGATAGTTTTATTTGCTTGTTTTTAATACTTGTGTATCTTTAATGAAGTAAAGTATAATTGTTTTATATTTATTAATATGTGATAAAGCTATGTAATATAATTTTAATGTCTTTGGAAAATTTCGTTTATAATGTAGCTTGTGCCGGAATTTTATGAAATTACTTTCATGCATTGTTTGGTATACGTTTTCCTAAAAGCATTGTAAATAAAGCTGTGAATGCTTCCTTTCAGACGGCCCTAAACAATAGATGGTTGATTGATTAAGTCGTGATCAACATTATAAGAGAATTCTCTGAATCGAATTTTAGAGAAAAGTTTTAATTTTCCTTCGATCAATTTTGTTAGAACTCACTGAATATTTATTTAAGCTAAGAATAAATTAAAATACATTAAAGAATATTACCATTGCATAAATCTCGTGTTATGTTAGACATAATGTAATAATTTCAACATAACCAAATATCGTTTGTAATATTATCGTATTATTTCGAAAGAGCCGTTTGAGATAATATAAATTAAAGTTACTTGATGAACCTGTTCAATAAAAAACTAATATAAAATTTATAAAATTTCAGAAAAATATGATATCGTTGGCAGACTATTAAAACCTGGAGAGGTACCAAATAAAACCAATGATGATGACAGCGAGGAAAAGAAAACACAGTAGATAATATTATATGCAATGAAGTGATTTAATATTACAATGAGAACTTAACTGGGTTATGTTAATTTAATTTTTTATAAGAAATATTACTTATGATATCATTATACATATAATAAAAAGTTACTTGGTTTGAGATATTTCTTTGGCAACTTACCTGAAAAAAAAGGGCCGACTATAAGAATTGCTCTTCGATCGGTAGGCCTCCAATTATTTCATTAAGATCTTAACAGAAGATGGGTAAAAATTAATATTTGTGGTATATATATGAAAGATATAGCTTACACAATTAATATAGATACTAGAGAAAGTACGATGTCAGCTCACACATTACTATCTTCAGTGTTGGTCAATGAATTTAGCTAACAAGATGAGGTCCCAATAAATCCAGCAAGGTCCAAAAAAATTTTCTTACACAAATTATTTATTTTTAGAGTAATACTTAAATTAAACTAATATTGACTAACTAATCTGTATTTCAGTACTGAGTAAATACAATTTAAAAATGAATTCCTAGTAAAAGAAATCTTCCAGTTGTACGTCAAATATCCAGAATTACTGCAATAAATATCTTATTTATTCCTCTTGGAAATAAAATACCTTCAATGTTATCTAAATAATTCCTTCTGTGCAGATTTAAATAAAGCATGATATTCGGATGTTGCTTCTCGGTTTTATTAATTTTTTTTCCAACATTTGCTGTAACGGTGATGACTGATAAAGAAAATTAAAGCATCTATCAATTAAACTTGTTATAGCAACCAAAAAGCCAAGAGCTCCTTTATTTTTTAGCGTTCTGCTCTGGATGTAGTCAGAATGCGTTTACCGTGTCTTGAGGTATCTCAGAGAAAAAGTGATCATATTTTCTATTAAAGCTTGAATATAAAAGAAAAAATAACTATATCGTATTAGAATAACTATAATAGGTGTAATAATATATAACGAAGAGAAAAACAAAACAGAAAATTTAACTATCATATTTTATTTCCATTCTCTTTTAATATAAAACGAAAACAGTTTCAAAAGACGAAATGAAAATGTTTATTTTACGTTTAATAATATTATAAACCTTATATATTATGACCATTTAAAATTTTCTAGTTTATCATTGATGCATTTAATTGTTAATTTGTTTTCGAGATGGTTGTTTTCATGCAGGTTGTTCTGTTGTGAAAATTCCTGTCACTAAAGAGAAGACAAACCCAATCACTGGCCTCTTCAAAGATCGCAAGACCATCTTCAATTTTGCAATATTCCTTTTTAATAATATACTTTAGCTTGTAATATCTTTTCGACTACAATGATGGATATGTATGCAAAACAAAATTCCCGAGGATATTTTTGCATCGGCCTCCAGACCAGACATATTTATATATTCGAGGATTTTAAAGCGCGTTGTGATGGTAGAGCTTTCGGTTCCTTGGGAAACCAACATGCCCAAAGATGGTCTTTCAAGTCTTTCAAGGTCAATAAATGTTATAACGAAATAGGTTTATCATGAATATGTACGCAATAGAAATGAGAGCAAGAGTTATAATGGAAAAATCTCTCTACAGCCTACTAAAAGAACTCACATCAAGTCATTCTTGGAACGTACTTCGAACGGAGTCCTAGTAGGTTTTTTTACATATTTAGTTAGAAAGCTTAGGTCGTTTACTTGGGTCGCAAGTCCCAGGCACTGTTGAAGCAACGAGATGGACTTGGCACCCGCATGGTGAATCCATTGAATGCTAAGGGATTTTGTCACTACTAATCTTTCAACACTTCGTAAATTCCATGACTGTTTTGAATTCTTATGTATGCCGTAAGGTCTTTGCATACCTTATATATAATATAATTAAATGTCTGACACACTCACATAAATATATCAGCGATTACGTTGCCTTGAAAAAAATATACATAAATTATTTAAGTGGAAGGGGAATAATTACATAAGCCACTTCGCTGAGACCTGACTTCTCCCTATTAATTCAACTCATACGTAATACCGGATCTAGAAATTACTAAACGGACTTACAGATTTTTTTTAATGATCCTAATCCATTCACAATTCAAAAAGTTTAGCATGCCATTTTGTATGCAACAGGAACAAAATGCTATAAAAATTTACAGTCACCCATGTACCTAATTTTATACTACATTTGATTTTATTGCCTTTGAAATTCTTTTTTTTTAATATTTTGTATTAATATACATAATGCATTTAAAATTATTACTATAGTCTTTTTTTCTGGACAAATCTTTAAACCCCTCTAATATTATAAAGCTTTTAACTTTCATGGTTACGACAATATCGAGTTAATTTATTAAAGCAAAACCAACACATACATAAATTTTAAATCAGAGGGTTCTATCAACAATAAAAATAGCAACTTAAAAACAAAAGCGTAGTTGAGAAATACTGGTAATTTGTAACTTACAGAACGGCAACCCGCTAACTGCCTGACGTCAAACGAAAAGTTGCATTTAACAAGTTTTAATAGCACGACCAACTTTTCACGAAAGCTTCATTGTGTTTAGAGTTGAGCAAATATATTTATATAATTTTTGTTTGCATATTTTATTTCAGTTACAAGAAATAAGGGTAACAGATTGTGAGGTCGATCAATAAAACAATTTAGGTATTCTTCGTTTTTTACATTACACCAATTACTTTGTTTAGAATTTAACTATATGTTTTATGCTATACATATATACCACTTATTTGCCTTTGTGACAACTTTGTTCAGTTGAGTTACTTAACGTTTTTATGCGACTCATATTTTTTGACACGTACTGACCTAAACTAACATCATTATAAAAAGAAGGTCTTACGTACATTTATTAAGCTTTATTCCGCTTCTAATGACTAAAAAAAATTATGTAACAAGGATAATTTTTATATTTTTAAAACCTAAATAAACAAATAAAACTCCTTATTACATCATCGCATGTGTGTTTTATATTAAAAATAATAAAATATTAAAATATTTTCCCTTTAAATGATATTTATGATTTGAAATTTACCTATAATACAAAATAGGAATTTTATCTTACACCCAATGATGTGAAAAATTATCAATTTAACTCCAAACACAGATTTTAGCTATTAATTCACTCTATTAGTTAATACCTTGAATTTAATAAAAGTTATGTGAACGATTTAATATAAACATAATGTTTTATCGTATATTAAAGCAAGTCTCCTTAAAATTTTGAGTTTGTATTACATATATGTAATTATATTGTATATGTATAAATATATTTTACTATGGAGATTAAAATTCGTAAAATTTTGTTTCGGAATTCATAATTCACGATATGAATAGTTCATATCCCAGAATAGGAGGTTGGTACAAGTGCTTGGCAATTTCCTCGTGATTTCCCGTCTGTCCGGGACGCGCGATAAAAGGACTATCTCTGGAGGGAACTCTATTTTACGCTTCATTTCATGACACTCCGTTTTGTACAAATTGCCTTAAATTAGACATTAAAACAAAATTATCATTTTATCATTATTTAGTGACAATGATATCGCCCCTTAAGCCATCTTTAAGAACTTTTGGTCTTGTTAGTAGTCTCTCCCTTAAATAATATGAATTAAGAAAAGTGCATAACTTATTTGACGTAAATTAAACAAAATAAATTCACTGTAAAATTTTTGGCTTTGTTTATTAAAATATCCTTTAAAAAAAACTGTAATATATAAATAAGTATCACAAAAAAATAATTGAATTTTTTGAACACAGCCTGAATAATTTTATTTCATTGGTATTTGTTGTCATAACAAAATCATACACTGCGTTACATTTGTTACAGAAAAGATAAGATGTGTTAGTCACAAACAAAATAGTATTTGGTGAAAGATAAAAAACTATGAGAAGCTAAAAAAGTTAATAATGTTCATTAGAATGAAAATTATAATGAAAATTATCAAACACAGTCGATTTAATGCCATCCTGTTATTGAAGTTTGAAGTTTAGAGAAAGAAGTATGAAAAAATTTTTGCTGCAAAATT